GTTGTGTTTGCCAACCCAGAAGGCCGTGTGTACACGGTTTTGAAAGCACAGTTTGGCTCTCTGAACCCTTTTAAATCACATGATAACAATAACAACACGGAACAATAAAAGGGTGATGGACACAAACGCTCCTTCCATTTGAGAGACTTTTTGATGCAAGTCCAAATCTGAAAGACTCTGCAACCAGCACAGCTTTAATGTTTTTAAGTGTTTACTCTACCAGAGTATTCCACAGTGTCTGTCGAGGAAACCCAAAAGGGCTGAGTCAGAGATCCCATCTCTTCCGGAGGCAGGGTTGAGCGTTGCTCTCCTTTGAAAGGCAGCATGGAAAGATCAACGGGTATCTCCTGAGGGAGCCACTGCTCCATACTGTGCTGCTGTCCCATGGCCAAACAGCCCGGGGCCCTGCAGTCTGCTGCTGTTAGCCTGTCTTGTTTACTTAGGGAGGACTTTCAACCCTGGACAGCCATCATGATCTGTATTCTGTCTTTTCTGTTTGTCTGTCTCACCCTTCCTTGCAGCATGTGATCACTTATTTGCAACAAATTCAAACTCTTATTTCAAACCTGCAACTGTGTGACAAGCATCGCAGCTTTCCAGCCTTCTCAGGTGGCACCTCTAGCATGAAAGTGACCCTCGGCTGTGCGGATAGCAATCCAGATGAGAGCGCAGGGAGGATTTCTGCGCTGCCGTGTTTATATTTCCTCCCTCGTAGCACCATGGATACAGTGCCAAGCTAGGACCTCCTCATAAATTCAGATACCCATAAATATTTGCCTGTGTTTTGAGCTCAACAGTAGTTTGCATTTACATATCTAAAGGTGCTTTTGTAATTTATCTCGTTGGAAGCTCGAGGACTTAATGCCCGGTGGTCTCGGTGGACAAATTGGGTTTTATATAACACTCAGCAGCAAATCATCACAAGCCGTGCTTTTCCATTCAGTTTGAACACACAAGTAAAATTTAAAGAAAAAAAGCAAATATTGTGATGGATATGAAGGAAATAGTGAAAAATAGTGTCATTCCGATCTGATGTCAAAAGTCAAGTAAGAAAAATAGGTGCAATAACCGTTCACCTGAAAACTGTGGATTTGTCTGTTACGCAGTGCCGCGCATTCCTCCACACTCAATAAACTTAGCTGAATCAATATGTCAAAGAGCAGACAGATAACGCTAAGCTCAGGCATAAATCCTAACCATCTCTAAAATCTTTTCATGTGGAATTACTCACAGGCCATATTCTCTTAAGTACAGTAAACATTGTGACAGGTACTTTGAGCTGCTGGTTCAAGAGGACACAGGAAAGTGGATTGTTCTTTAAGCCCACAGGGGCCCGAAGAAAAGGAAATGTCTCGAGTGAAAACGTTACCAGAAAGGACAAAGGTGTGGTTTGGTGAAATCACCCAGAAAAAAAAGCTGGGTAAGTCTTGCTGTGCAACTTTTAGGCGAAATTCTTGTCTTGCATTAGCTGGCCGTGATGTCTTCTTCTTTCCTCCCAGTTGTGAAAACATCTGAGAAAATAAAGCCCTCTGGTATCTGTTCAGCCAAGGAGAAACGGGGAGTTAAAGTATAGATGGGAATGACTCACACAAAAATATGCAGAAGGTGGTTCTTTCCGTAATTTCCAAAACACTGACGCGTTTCGCTCTTCTTTTAAAAACAAACTGCAGATTTATTTGCATCACCAGAACAATTTATTGGATTGAATTTAAATAATTTCTCATAATGTTAAAAAAAAAATAGTAAAACAAAAAGAAAACATGTTATTTCAGAAAAATAAATAAGTCCGGTTGCGTGAATGACATGCTCTTTTTTTAGGATGAAGAAAGTTGTGAACAAAAGCAAAGAAAAAAAACCTCTTTGTGCTAACATTTACATGTAACTTATCATGCCTTCAGTATTCAGTCTCTTCGGGTGAGGGTGGGGGGGAGGGTTTTTTGTTTTTGTTTTTTAAAACCTGAAATAGCTCTTGAAGCTCCCACACCACTTGCTTAGGTCATGCAAAAAAAATGAAAAATCAAAAAGGCTTCTCAAATTCATGATTTGGCATGACCTGTGAGCTTCATAAGAACATGTTACATTAACAATTCTCCTTTTAATCATTACAGCGATTCATCACAGTCATCACAGTGAGCACAGATTTGTTCAGAGGTGACCTCACGCTACACTTTGGTCTAATTTTGGCTGAAATATGATGCAACAGCACATGTTATTATTATGAAGGGTATACAGTTTATAGTGAGTCAGGTAGCGCGGCCAGCAGCCTTCGTTTGCAGTTTATGTGTAAGAACATAAAGGTCAGAGGGTCCTACAGCTATTCTGGGCGTTCTTTGTTCAAACAAGCCATCCAACTGCTTTACATGTGCGAGATTTTGTAGAAGTAGTACCGTAATGCTGCCCGTTGGCCGACAGTGTTCTCATGTCAAAAATTAAGTCTCACGAAGTTGATTGTTTTTGCATCTTTTTCTCTCTTTTTTTTAAATGATTAAACACAACACGATGTGATATAGTCATTTATACCCTGTTTAAACCAAACTAGTTTCAGTCAAATACAGTAAGTAAGAGCTTTCAGTGGAAAACGTGCACATTCAACACTACTGTACTACCGCTTATCGAGAGACAGAGAATAGAAAAGAAGACATCAGAATGGTTTAACTTCTACTCTATATTGATATCTTTATTAACAATCATAGACATGTTTTTCAACTATGGAAGATTTATAAATATTTTTCTTTCTTTTGATTCATGTAAGTTGTCTCGGCACTTATGGCATGATTCCAGTTTTGGAAAAAAACAAAAAAATCAAAAAAAGTCCACAAAGAGTTGAGTGCTTGTGTGAAGCACTGATATCCAATCAACATCTTCAAAGAGAAATCCGTTATGTACAAGATGGCTTTCTTTAAGGAACCCAGATTTGGTTCTGTGTGCCACGGATGGGAGAGATACCGAGTGCAGGTCCAGCAACCATCCATAGCAGGCCACCTAATTGATCATTTGGCCTGGCGTTTCCCTTTTGTTGTTGATGTTGTTGTATTTTAAGGCAAAAAATTAAAAAAAAAAGACCCTGACATCAATCTGGAACCTGATCGCAGATACTCCATGCTTGATTCAAGCTTCTAGTCTGACTTAAGGTCATCTCAAACTTCTTTCCCCCTCTCGTCCAACTCTTCTTGCATCAGCTGAGAGGGAAGGAAACCAACACTGCACCCAAATACTTCCACTATACACAGCATCCAGACACGAGGGGCCGGGGGTCTCTGTCCGCCCAGAAGGTTAAAATGTTCAGGCTAAGGCCATGGGGCACCAGGGTTCGCCTCTCACTGAAGCCACGTCCGATGACTGGGTCAAGCCCACGCTGCCGTACAGGCCGTCCTGTCCGGAGTACTTGACGGACGAGCCCGAGCCTGCTCCCTCCCCCCCGCTGGACAGCACAGATGAACTGATCTGCAACCAGAAAACTCTCTGTTAGCAAAAATTGTGAGTTTATTGTATAAAATATCAGTAAAACTTTTAGATTGTGTAAAACCTTTTTTTTTTTTAATTATTATTATTGAGGACTGAAATGACATTTGCATTGCAATGTTGGGGGAAAAAGGAGCATGATCAATGTGACACTCGTATTGGTGTAATATCACAGTGACATATTAGTTAGCAGCAGTCATAACCACAGAGCATCAGTCAGCCTGCATGTCATCTCTTTATCACAGTTTGTATTTTACAAAATATTCACTCATGAAAATGGGTGAAAAATCTGGCCTTTTATAGTAATTTCAAGTGTAGAAATTCCTATTTAACACACACACACATATATAGATATAGATATTTCATTGTTTTATTAATTATTATTTTTATTTTAAACTATTATTTGAAAAATTTAAAAGCAATTAAAAATCAGTTTTACCCCTGACACTTGTCCAGAGGGAGAGCTGGTTTTCGAGCAGTCTTCGGAATTGGATGAAGAGGTGGATGTAGGAGTCATGGAGACAGAGTTGCTACTTCCTGGAAACATAAAAAAAATGTTGTCGTTACATTATTTTAAAAGAGATAAATATGACATACATATTCCTTCGTGCAGCAGAAATATTGTTCAGCTACTCACCAGAGGATCCCTTTGCTTTATTCAAAGTTTTCGGTTTTCTTTTTCTCGTCTGGATTCCCTCTTTCTTCATGGCGAGCGGCCGAGGTACCTGTAAGATGTGATTTTTTTTTTAAATGAAAATAAGAAATGATATTTTTTTTATCAATAATGCGTCGATTTTTAAAAATTAAAACTGAATTAGAGGGGGGGGAATTCAAATCGCAGTGAACTTACTCCGTGTAATTTTGTGTAGAGGCCGCACGCGTTACACACCGGCTCTCCCTCCGCGTTTCTGCGCCACAGAGTGGTGGTACTGGTTTGACAGTTGGCGCAGGAAAGGCCGATTCTTCTGGACGTTGACTGTTGTGGCAAGCAAAACATAACATCAGTCACTATAATTAAACGTGGGTATCCAGGAAAATAAAGCACCACACACTCAACCATTTTATTCATACCTGACTTTCCAACAATAATCCACACCCTGTTAGAATCCCAATTTAATTGGCATTTACGCACGGATTTATATTATTATTCATTTATTTATTACAGGTTGTTAATTCGCAGAGAGTTGCTACGTGCCATTTCACTTCCTTGTAAAAACTGCGTAATGGCACCATGGAAAATCTGGACCCACTGACGCCTTTTTAGATTAGCTTACCCGACAGTAGCTGGGAGTGGAGATTGAGATAAAGTGTCTCCTTACATTAACACTTTCCACGTGTGGATTGATTTAATGTGAATTTAGTGAATAACATTTTTTTTCTTATGAAACAACTAAATGATTGTGCTTGACTGATGAATTTAAAACACTGGCTAAGCTAAAACTATCATTCTCCTTTGCAAAGCACAAGTCCTTGATTCAAATGTGAAATGCATGCTTTATTTATTTATTTTCCCCGTTTTATAGAAATCACGTGATCTTGCGTAAATAAATTTTCCTTGATTACAATCAGGTTTGAACTGGGGGCTGTATCATTGAAACCTTCATCCAGAAGCCGAATCGTGACAACGACAGTGACCTCCAGCAATTGTTTGAAACAATTAGGCAGGAAATTGGTTGATTTAAGTGGCCCTCGCCCCCCTCCTCCTGTCTCCTTACCGTCCGTTTCGGTGGTTTAATTAATGGCCGGCTCAGACCATTCATTTTGCTATAGAGGCCGCAGGCGTTGCAGAGAAAGTGGCCCGTGCCATCGCGCCTCCACAGCGGCGTGGAGATGGAGCCGCAGTTCACGCACTCTCTGCTCTCCCCCATGTCGTCCAGAATATCTGAAACTGAAGAGAAATACTGGAATCAGAACAGGGAGCGAGTTTGTGAGAATTACACATTGTTGCTGGTCATTATTTCATAAGCGATTCTGCTTCTGGGACTTCATGTCAAAGAAAGCAAGCGGATAGATACGGCGGGCAAAATGATCTGTTCATGGATTATAAATTGATTAAAGCGAAGTGTTTAACAAAATTCACATTTTTAATAAATTTATACTGTTGTGCCAATGTTGTTTTAAAAGCCTCGGTGGATTTTACTTCATGTAAATGATTCATTTTATATATTTCTGGGCAGTCATTTGCGCCTGTTTCTTACACACACACACACACACACACACACACACACACACTATCATAAATTCATTTTTGGCAGTGTATGAAACATATTTTTATTCAACATTTTGAGGTCAGGCCTCGACGAGGGGAACAGGTTTCTGTTACAAAGACACGCAGGCGCTTGGTGCCTTCACTCCAGACACTTCAAGGTTGCGCGCGTGATTAAAATACCTTTTTTTCTTTCCGTCCCACACAGTGAGAAGGAAAACTATTCCATCTTTGTGCCTCCCTCTACTTTGTTTTCGTTTGATTTTTTTTTCTTACCTCCATTTGGTCCTCGAATCAAGGGCGCACTCCTGCTTTGCAAGGTGTGGAGCATCGTGTTATCAAAAGGTGCCCCGGGCCAAGGCGAGGGTAGCTGGGGTGCAACGTACGGGGAGTATGGGCTCGGGTAGGGCCCGCTGAGGGGACGAGAAAGGCTGTACTGGTCTCTGCTGCTCATATTCAGTGTGTTACTGTAGCCCGTGTCCCTGGGGGTCCCGTTATTGATGGGTGGGCTTGGAGGGTAGTGAAAACGACTGGAGGCGTGCGGGCTCCCGGTGCTGTACGAAGGGCTCTCCGGGGTGGACTGTGACCACACCGAGTGACTGGAGACGGCGTGGCCGGGCTGAGCAGACACGTTGGCCGGCAGATAAGACAGACTGGGGATCATGGTGCCCACCCGCGAGCTAGGGACATACACTGGGGAGTTAGGGTTGGAGTGCATATAACCACCAGAACTCGAATCATATCCAGTCTGGCTCTGGGCCGCAATGGCCAGTGTTTGGTACATGTCGGCCGGGTCCACCAGCAAGCTTGTCTTGTGTGCTCCGGTGGAGAGGACGAGTTTGCTCCCCTGGTCTAAATCCGTAAATAGCGGGATATCCTCGGTAGTGGTCAGGGTGTTGTTATGGTGTCCGAAGTGAAGGTAGGAGTGCAGGGATCTGCTGTCGGAGCGACGGTGCCCTAGCGCGTCAAGCTCGTTCGGAGGTGTCCTCAGCTCATCCGAGGTGGTGCCGTCCCTTCTGCTGTCACCGGGCAGGTAGTTCTGCTCAGCCGGTGACCCTGGGCTGCTGGACACTTCTCGCTTGACCATGGACCAGCTGTTTTCGCCCAGTTCCATCCAGGAGCACTTTCCATACACCGTAGGGGTAAATAAAAATGGCCAGGGAGTGGTCTACCCTGTAACAAAAAGAGTCGGAACCGTTAGGAAACCACAAGAAATGACCCTTTTTGCGATGTTAAGGATAAGTGAATTGAAAATATATCCACAAAACATCCTGACAGAAAGTCGGCAGGTTTCTGAAAAAGGGGGGAAATGCAAACGGACACCTGGTGTACAGACCAGCATTCATCTTTGGATGAACTACATTTTTCACAATAGAGAATAGGGTAATAAACTACGAAAGCTCCAGTTAATTATTACTGAGTCAGTATCATCTCGAACTCCAATAAAAACCCAGTCTACAGTGACTGCCATGCTCTCATGAAGCGCTCTTAAGAGGCACTGGATCCATCCGTGTCAAATCCCTGTCCTCCCCTCCACACGCACATACGCAAGTAGACGCACACATAAAGAGATAGGAAACAAAAACGCAATATGTCTTCACAGCAAAAGAGATAACCGTTTGATAAGAGTCAAAACAGATAAGGACCGAAAGGCTGACTGGAGCGATAAAACAATACCCCGAAATTATGAGTTTGGTCTCGCTGCGCTCGCCAAGACACCGCCAGATGTTTAAAGCAGCTGTGCGCGCCGCAAAAGTGGGAGAAGAAACGTTTTAAAAGACGAAGAAGAAGACTTACCTGCTACAAGTGTGCCATATAAGTCGAAAGCAAACTTCCTAACAGTGAGCCTCTGCTTCTCTTGGAAGTAATGGGAAAGTTTACCGCAGTTAGAGGAGGTTTATGAGAGGAGGCGCCTCTGGTGGCTGCGGCCGCAGGAGGCGGACCAATCATGTGGAGCGTGAGCGGCTGGAGACGCGATGGGGGTGCCAGCCTATGAACTCCTCCAATCAATCACGCTGAAAAACAGAGAGAGAGCGAGGGGGGGGGAGACACTTCACTTGATCAGGTCTGAAAGTTGGATTAATGTGTTGATACGATCAGGTTTCATTATTCGAAAGTTATGCTTTCGGTTACAAATGAATACGCCCCCCCCCCCAGCTGTTTCTTTTTTTTCTTTTCTGTTTGTTTGTTCTTTAAATGAAATTGTTGTTTGTCTATCTTGCTCTATTTACAGGTGATCCACAAATCTGGTGATGAGCCTACAGCAGCTGAAACAAACAGAAACGAGTGTCTTTGAGATTTTAATTTCACCGGACTACTCTTTAATATCCAGCTCTTTCATAGGCTACTCCTGTTTTATGGAAAATTGTGACATTTATATGACAGACAGCGGTTTAATTTAATAACTAGATCGTTATTAATTAAACTGCCAAGAAATGCAGTTAAAATTAACTTACCCGTCACCCTGAACAGGAAAGTGCTACTCCCATGTTTACGCATTGCAGTAATCACGTCTGCAAGGAGCACGCTTTTAACTTTCGATACTTTGGAGATTTTAAAATGATTATATTTATAATGGTTAATCCAGAGTTTAAAAGCTGGGACTTTCCACTGCAGTCTGTCCACGAGTTAAAGACCTGAATATTTTGTTTTTACTTGGAGCATTAGTGTAATAAAATGTTTCGTCTGGACAACTTTTTACTGATGAGAATCCTTAAGAAAGACTCCTTTTATTAAAACAACAGCCTATTAAATGATTGATCAAATATATATTCCGTGTGTGAAATGTGCTTTAGGCCTACTTCTTCTTTCTGGTTTCATCTTAATTCAAAGTCCTACACCCCCCCCCCCCCCCCCCCCCCCCCCCCCCCCTTTGTTTATTCTCTGTCATCATTCCAGTGATCAATAAATCCCCTCTTAATTAGTTTAAGTCAGACGGCTCTCATTGAGCGTTAAAGGTGTGTGTGTGTGTGTGTGTGTGTGTGTGTGTGTGTGTGTGTGTGTGTGTGTGTGTGTGTGTGTGTGTGTGTAGCTCCTCTTTGAAACGCGATGATTCGTTCAGCCCGAATATACATTGAGACGAGTGAAGTGATCAAAAGTGGGGAGGTGTCAATTGAATCATTAACGCATTTGCAGGTCACACTCGCAGCCATTCAGTGGGTTTTGTTTGTTTGTTTGATTTTTTTGTCTGGACAGTTGATCAGATTACCTCCAACAGCCCATTCATTCTACTTCCAACTACCGCAGGGAAGTCCGAGAGTATACTCTGATACTTTTATAATATTCACCCTGCATCCATCACACTGATAACAGGCACCGAGCTGCATCCATGTTCACTGCTTCTGCAGCTGCACAGCAGACAAAACTGAGGGAAAAATCAACTCACCGCAATTCATGATTCATACTGTAACACCATCTGTATCGGTTATTAATGTGTCATAGCAACGGAAGGCACAGCTGCACTTTTTGATTTACCAATATCGTCCCAAAAATTGCTAATATGTTATTAATTATCCATGTCCCTGCCAATTAGACTACCACATGGAGTTAACAGTTCACAGGGCCTAACAGTAACAGAGTCTTCGGCTGGACTTATGTTCAACGCGTGCCACTGCCAGGCCTCCCATTGTTCCTCCTCTGTCTACTTCTCGCACAAACACTATTATTGTCAGACAGTCATGAATATTATTACTGTAGAGTTATTTTCAATGCTAATTCAATACCCGTGGGCGCAATCGTGCAGCCGCTCTCCAGCAGGTGTTCCTGCCGCTCTTATTTTAATACTGGCGTGATGATTCCTGCTGCTGGATCCTTCTCCTCGCATAACTTCAGAGGGAAACAATGCAGCCCGAGTTGCGTGGCGATCTGTGTCTATTTGTGTAGTGGTTATGCTAATCCATGTTGTCTATCTGATTTCCACAGAACTTTTGCTGATAGAAATTCACGCTTGAGGCGATATTGTGACTGTTAGGCGTCGAGTCTTCGCTCGCTCTCAGGTCCTAGAGGTGATTCTTATCAGAGGCAGTAACCGCACCAAAATGCGCTGCCGTCTGCCATCCCATCACCTCAGCCTGCAGTTGTCAGGAAGGTGAGAGAATACAAAATCCTGTTGTTGCTGTTTTTTTCTTTCTTTTTTCTCTTTGTTGCCCCCCTATTCCGCCATCACCCCACCCTCACCCCTCCACCCTCCCTCCTTTTTTTTCTTTGCGGCTTCTGGCTCACTGGCTGCGAAGCCTCCAGTTGATAAATGAGGTGTTTTCGCAGTAATGTCAGCGTGGGCTGCTCTGACACACGGAGCTCGTGAGAAGAAGTGGCAGGACGCCGCCCTGTCTCCGCGTTTATCCAGCACAGCCAAACACTGCAGGCCAGCCACTGACTGTCAGCTCCGGCCTGTGCGCTGACCATCTCCATCACACATAATTCAACCAGATAGCCTGCAACTGGTGGATAATAATAATAATAATAATAATAATAATAATAATAATAATAATAATAATAATAATAATATATGGAAACGATAAATAGTGAACGAAATATTTCATTTATGTATTGGAATAATATTGTCAAACTGTATTTAAAATATTTAATAAATACAATTTCGTTAGGAAGTAATGAAAAGACGCAATAATAATCATATTATTATTATTAATATTATTATTATTATTATTATTATAAGCTCTTTAATGGTTGACCCTCTTCAGGTGTCTGAGCCTTATGTACCGACTTGATAATGATTATCTCCAGCCCTCGAGTGCTCGTTGCAGCTTTCTCCTGATTATGTGATGTTATGGAGATAACGAGGAGCAAGAGAACGAATTACGCACGAAAGGGACAGTTAGGGGCATCACACGGTGGCGTGGGCAACTTTGAGACTATTACTCACTTTTTTTTATTTTATTTACTTCTTTAAAAATGCCCTGCTTGGTCGTTAGCTTGACTGTGACTGTGTAGAAAGGGCAGCTCTGATTTCTCTTACACGGCAGGGCAATAAAAGGCACTGTGGACGCCAACACGCCCCACGTCCGAAAACACCTTTGATGTCTCGATTATGATTAATGAGAAGCGACTGCAGCTACATGTAAAACACGCAGGAAGGAGACGCAATTCATCATCTCAATCACCCCACGGTTGCTTCCCCCCCCCTTTTTTCTTGCTATGTTTTTATCTTTGCATTTCACACACAGAGTCTGTTTTCAATCAAATCCTGTATAATTGTCTTTTAATAACGACGGAAGATTAATATCCAGTATTTAATCTGTGGGGTGTTGTTTGGATTAATTGTATTTTTATTTTGTCAAACTGTCAATAAAGCAGCTATCCTGCACATATTTGCACCACAGCTTTGGTGACAATCCTGCGTTACTGTATTTAAGAATCTGGGCTTTTAACGACTTAAATCGCTTTAACGTTTATGCTACGTGTTCCCTTTACAACAAAGATTTATCTTAGAAAGCGAAACATATGTAGAGTGAACTGGATTTGCACACAAGACGCCAAATATTTCCAATTTAAAAAAGAATACCTTAGAAATTAAAATAGAATACATCAATTAAATAGACATGTTTCCTCGCATGGCTATATAAAATACACTTTGGATTTTGTGGTTTAATGGTTAATTGATTGATTTTATTTCATCCATACAAATCACACACACACATGTATACACCATGACCATGATTCTGTGTGTGCAATAAATACCAGAATAAGGTGCACTAAAAAAGTCATCATAAAGAGCAACTTATAAAAGTGATTTAACATCGACAGATATTCAAAGTTCAGCTTTAGACACTGATTATTACCATTATTTTTACATTTTAAATGCATTGCAGCTGTCATTATTAAACATGAAATATTAGCAGTAATTCTGTTTGCATAAAAATCAGATTGCAAGTCTGGTTTAATGAATTATTCGTCCATGAAATCCAAAATGGGAAAATTGAATTGTTAACAATTATTCCAAAGAACCTTTTTTATTATATTACATGAGAAAAATGTAATATATTATCCAGTATATCCAAAAGCAGTGCAGCATATGGAAAAACAACAAATATCCACTCTCCCCACAACAATAGCACAATAACAATGAAATACATGAGAGGCGTTGTGAGTTCACGCTGTCTTAACGTGTAGCTCCATCCTTAAAATCTAGATCATTTTGTTCCTGATATAAATGTATTCCCGCTCACACTCTGTGCTTTTCTATATTTACCTCCAGTTCCCAGCGCCTATAAACACTGACGTATTTGCTCTTATTTTATTGAAGACACAGTTAAGTTTTATACCTGCGCCGGTCTTTTTCTCCCTGTCCTCCACAGAATGGCAGCTTGTCCAGAGCCGCTGGAGCAAAGGCTGCTGGGAGGCCGTGAATGCCAGACTCTCCTGTTTGAAGTGGTAGATGATTAAACGGGTCATGACAGGTGTAAAAGCAACCTTTGTCATTTTGGACATGTACCGTCCTTGCTTCCTTGGCTCGCCCACAACGGAACGCCCTGCTCACCTGCCCGAGTGTGTGTGCACTAATGTGTGTGTGCACGTTTGGGTGTGTTTGTGTGGAGTGGATTTTCTGGAGGGGATTGATGGCTGTTAACAATCCTGCACCATCACGCTCCCTGCCTGTCATGTGATGAATGAGTGACAGATACATCCCTGATGGATGAGACGTGAGCCTGTTGTCTGCATATTTGTGGTCTTGGCTCTGTGCCGCTCGGTGTTAAAAAAGAAAAGAAAAACAAGCATAAAATTGCTCCAGTGGAAATGAGTGAATTGTCTGTGATTTGAGAAGGATTGAGGTTGTATTTATCTCTTATTATTTGCGTCTCCAAGAATTTCTATTTATCAAATCAGCGTGGTGATGTCATATCAGCCTGACATAAGTTTCAGGGTTCGTTTGACCTATTCTCCTAACTTTGGCTCCAATCGTGTATCGACTGTATCATATTATTATATTACAAGCTGTTTTTTATCACTTGTACTTCTCTTATCTATTTTCCTCCCCGAGCCATCATGATGCATATACAGCAGTGAAATGAAGATAAAGGGTTTGCTCTGGTATCGTAATACCACAGCTCAAATTCAAATGGGGTTTTGACATATCAGGCGAAATCACTCTGTCATATGCAGGATTAAGTGGAAGAAAAATACCAGCATTTTGTTTTGTGTAATTAAAATATTAGCTTGCTCATTTTTGAGGCTGAATTTGGAAGCAGACCCCCCCCCCAGGAAAAAGTGAATCCCTAATATAAGCAATAAGGCCGAAATGGAAAAAATCTTTACTCATTCTTTGTCGTTTTCATCTTCCCGTGAAACCGTCATTCTGTCTCATAACTCTTGAACAATGAGTCTGACTCACAGCAGGACTCTTCTGTGGAAGCTCTGAGCGAAGCCGTGATCAATTTTGGGCTCACGTCAAAGGAAACGGGTAATCTGATAATCCTGGTTGCATATAAAGCCATAAGAGTTTAAACTTGCATTCAAACAAATAAGGCAAAGTTGGTCCGCTTGACACACAACACTCCTGGAAGCTACATTTAAATTCATATCCTGCTATGATTTTAGATTCAGTGCACATCAGGGCCAAATTTCATAAGGTTAGGTTATTTCAAAGTCCCAGTTTGGCAGCTGTGTTTCTCGCCAGTAGCCAGATGAGACAATATGGCCATCTAACACTAAATACAACCACTTTGACAACCTTGTTTTCGACTTTAGACCCTTTATTGGATTGAAAATAGCACAAAAACATTCAAATCTGAAAGTGAGAAACTGTTTCACTAAAAGAAAAAGAAAGTCATTATAAAATAGATGACGTCAATATGTTTCTTTTTATTAAAGGTGCGGTTAATGAAGTTTAGAAAGGTAAATATTTTTCCATTCCTGCTTCATAGAAGAGCTCAGCCACTCAAGAGTCTGAGGCCTGCTTTATCACAGATAATGTGCCAAATGTGGTTAACTGGGTTCATGCCTTCATCCGCTACTACACCCACATACCATTACACATTCGGCTCTGTGCTGATAACATACCTTATGGTCATGATTTAGCCCAGAGTATGTGGGCCTATCAACAACAAAAAGAAAGAAAGAAAGAAAGAAAAATCCTCCCGTTTCGATTTGTTTCGAGTTGTCTACTTCTCCTCAGTCGATCAAAAATTAGATTTATTTTTTGTGCTTTATTTGTATTCATGCAGTGATTTCCAGCACCCTCCATTCTCTTACAGAAAACATAGTTTTATATTAATCTTTTAAGGCTTTTATGATATTGTGTCCCATTTTCTTTGCAGTTTTATGGTAAATGTAATGTGACTGATCTGTTTTCAATAAGCCAGACTGATTTATTCTTTTCAGTGTAACTAATGTCAGTAATATTATTATTAAAATAATAACAGTTCTACAAAAAAACCTTCTTTTAAAAAACATTTTAAATGTGATGTTTTTGGTTTAGAATAATAGTTATAATATAAAATCTTTTTTATTTTATTTTAATATAGGGTTTAAATCAAAATAAATCATTGAAGTCTGTTTAATTGTGTAACGTGTCCAGTACAAATATTCAGCTAGTTGCCAATTAGCTTAGGTAAGACAAGAGACTGGAGGGTTGGGATTATTAAGAAATTCTGGTTCTGTGTATATGTTAAACAAACGAGATGCAAAATGCCAGGTATTGAGCATTAGCATTAGGTTTTGTTCACTTTGGGTCAGACAAGCTGTTTTTCTGCGCTACCATGTTGTTAAGTGTTGATAAAATTAACAAATGTTCACTGATACCATTATTCAGCCTGACGAGTATTCGGCTCGTTTACAAATGTTTGTAAAACTTGCAGTGAAAGAAGAACGAAAGAGGACGCAGCTTCGCTCACAGACGCCTCTGCACCTCTGTCTCTGGAAAACAGAGCCTCATCTCTTGCGTAGATTCTGAGGCTATGTTATTGTTTCCATGCTAGCGTCTCCATCCTGTGGAGCCAGTCCCCCTCTGTGTGTTTTGTCTCAGGAGAGAAGGTCAGGTCTCCAGTACATTTTCTGACTTTCCCTGAATCAGCTGTTTGGAGCCCCAGCCTGAGAGAAAACAGCCTTGGCCAAGGCAGCGTCGCTGATAGCAAAGCAGAGGCAGCCTGGAAACAAGGAGGTGGAGGTGGCAGGATGGCTTGAGGGAGTTTGGAGGGATCGGATACTCGGGCATGGCGCTGCATTGTAGCAGCTGGGAGATCTTGCTATCCCACTCAGGCTTCAAGGTCTACGAAATCTCAGCTGCTTGTTAGAAAGATAGCAGAGGAGTGTGTGGTGGAAATAAGACAATCACCAATTGTTGAACTCACGAGTGGGAGACAGATGGGATATTGAAGGAAGGAGGGCACAGTCTTTCACAGGTTTTGTTAACGGCTGAATTAGTTTATCTGTAAGTTTTTGGGTCTCGGTGTTGTGCATGTTGCTTCTCTCTGGTATGGCTTAGCGGGACACTTGACTAGAACACATGCTATCTCTGCTTCACACATCAAATGGCACAAATTTCAGAGTTAATGAAAAGACATATTACCTCTTCCTTCTGATGGCGCCTTAGTTACAGATTCTTAAAATCAGTGAAAAACCTGCAGAATTTATGTCATATATATTTGTGTTAAAACTCAACAAAAACAACAAAATCTTTACGTTTTTAAGAAGTTGACCAGGTGTTTGAGAGTGTTAGACTATAAGAAGGGACTCCAGTGCGTGAAAAAGCCATAAAAGAGTAATGACTCACCAGATTTTCTCAAGCCTTCCTTATTTATTTATTGCCATTTGCAAGAAACCCATATCTTACTTCAAGCACCGCAACTTACTCAAACTTGTGCAATCTATTTTTTAAGGCTTTGTCTTGGTCGCTTGTGCTTTAACCCTTTAACGGCAAGTTTATCATATTTGATACAAGAGATTTTGCAAAAACTGCTGGTGGCAGCAAATATTATGTAAATTTAAACTCATATAGGCAATTAACATATAATGTCTGGGTTTTGTTGGGATTTCTTTTTGAAGACTCCATTAAAAAAAGGTGGGGTTTTTTTGGTAATTATTTCCTTTTCCATTCTTTATAGGGTTAAACACGTCATGCCTGAGGTTTAAAATGAGACATGGCTTCAGAAAAAGTGCAAAAAGGAGCAACTGTGACGCTATGGAGCCAAAGAAAGAAAACTGAGATACTCTTCTTTACATCACAAATTCATCAAATGAATGAATGACTGTGTGTATACATCTATACAATTTAGACAGGTCAGGCCACAGAAAAGGTCGCATTTAGTATCAGTTAAAGTCTATCCTGTAACTTTTTGAGGGTTCTCTCCTTCCATCCTGTACAGAAATCTGTCTTTTAATTTCACCAAAACCACTTCCTACAGTGGTCATTGGTTGAGAGACAACTCTACAAAAAGCATTGACTCAAAAATCTGCAGATGTGGGAAGACGAAATCAAAGTTTCGATTTTGTAATTTGGGCACGTGGATGTCGCAAAGAACTACCACCGATGTCTCATAGTAACCCTCCAGTAGGAAGTGTCGAACATCGGCCCTGACCTTTTTGTAAATACACTCCTTTCCAGGAGAAAATGTGTGCAAAAAATGTCTGCAGCTTTTCAGCAAGTAGAACAAATAAGCTCTTTTATGATCTGATAAGCTTCTCTCAAAAGGGTCTAGAGCTCCACCAGACATAGCCGACTTTGCACGGCGCTTGTCCTTCTGTGACCGTACGGCCTCGCTTCGTCTCGGCCTCTCACACTTAAACACACATGCAGATAAACGCACGTACACGCCGCTCCCCTTCCGCACACATTAAACACACTCTCAGACTGACTTGAAGGTTTCTGTCGCCCTCTCCTTCACTTGAGTCAGTTGCCAGACAATGAAAACATTGAGAGGCAGTTTCTATGGCGTGCCCAGGGCTTTTGTTTGACTGAAAAACATATGCATTCTACATGCTCCAATTATGGTTTTATCAGATCGCCGTCAAACACACCAATCATGCACCTTCCTTTGTGCCCTCTCTAACGGTGTGTACTGTACCACGCGGAGCAGTGGCTCGCTGTGTTTGCATGTTTGCCCATGGTGGGAGTATAATATCTCAGGCTGGTCTGCGTCCCCGTTGGCGGAAAAAACTCGCAGCTTGGTCGAAAAAGCAAAGGCGAGAACGTCCCTTTTACTTCACAGCAACAGATTGGTTTTGAATGCACAAGTGAATTAGCACGGGGCCCTTCTGCTCTTTCTAACAAACACATTCAGCTTCAGCTCTGACCAACACTGGGTCGGCTGTTGGACTGGACACAAAAAGGGCCATATCAGGGCGATCTGCGGCACGTACAGTTAAGTCGCTTATTGTGACTTGAACTGTGTGCTCCAACAA